AAAGGTTCCCTTCCATAAATCTTCTATATTAATTTCGCTTTTGTGTTTCTTCCCTTTTATACTAACTGCTTTTGTTCGTTGCCACAGATTCCATCCCAGTTTTGCAGCCAACAGACGGCCGAAGATATGGCTTTATTGGCTTATAATCGCGCTCTTAAGCTCTCTACGCAGGTTCATTTTTGTTTCTTTATTTTAGTATTAATATGTGTAAAAGTTTACGAGTTGTGTAAACATGGTTGCTTTGGCTTTCTTAAAATGTTTTTATGGATGGGTTGCGACTTTTTTTTTTTGTGTGTGTGTCTGTGTGGTGAAAATGGAATAGTTTGAACTGACGTGGCCTGCATTAACATGTTGATTAGGATCCCCAGTTGTTGGTGTCGGTTTCACTGGCTCTTTGGCTAGCAGTCGTCCAAAACTCGGGGAACACCGGTATGTCTGCCTTATCTACGAAAATGATTGATGAATCCTCACTATATTGAGTTTCAGCGTAACGTCTGAATAGGTTGCCATTGGCCTGTGCATTGCGTTGCTGTATTGGTAATTTGGTATTGCTGTATTAGTCATTTGATTATAAAAATGATACAACAAAGACTGGATACAAGCTATGATCAACTACAGAGATGTGCTTTACTTCTGCTTTTGAAGTCACCGCTGGATTTATTTGTGTACATTTTGAGTGCTTGACTCTCTGGATCTTGTTAGTTTTGTTGTCATTTTCCTTGAATGAGGTTCTTTTCAGATTTCTCAATAGTGGTTTTTCCCTTTTCTAAATGTGACATTGGGGGGAAGACTAGTCCCCACAGTGAACTTGTTTAGCTTTCATGTTCATTTGCAGACTTTACATGTCAACAAGGACAGCTGACCAACTGTGGATATCAAGAGTGACCTTGACTAAGGTGCTATTATCCTATTCTTCTTAGATGTGTTCTCAAACTCACCCAGTAACTGTATGAGAGACATCTTAGAGTAAGGAACCACAACTTCGAGCACAGTGTTTGAAGCACCGGGAACTGATAGCAACGAACCCACCGTCTAAAAAAAGTCCAATTACTATTGATTCATTCAGCACTCTGCGTGCAACCAAATACAGAGAGAGAGAGAGAGAGAGAGAGAGAGAGGAAAAACCTGAGATGCTCCGCCGGTGAGATGCAGAACGGCTTGGAAAGAAGAGGAGTGAATGGCCTCTACGACGGTTCGGATGCGACTCTCCGTCATTCTCCTTCTCTTCCCTTCCGAAACCTTTCGTTCCCCTCTTCAGATTTAAGCCAACGCCATCACACGCGATGTCGTTTCATAAAAACGACAACACAATGCCCACTTCACGCCGTTTTGACTTTTCATTAAACAAGTGTCACAGACAAACTATTAATTTATCAAACCCTCTCTAGAAACCACTATTTTTTCCTTATATCGTATTTTAGGAAAGAAAAAATAAATTTTTCACAATATTTTGACGAGTTCATATATTAATTTTTTTACTTATTCATTATTTATTTATTATTTAGTTGATATATTTAAAAATTAATATAAAAATGACATATATATTGTATCGAAATATTATAAGAAAAATGTGTGTTAATATATCATTATTTTTTACCTAATACTTCTCCTCTTCCCATGTTATTTGAAATCAATTATCACCCTAATCCCATGAAAAAATGTAATCCATCACTACTTCTTCTTTTTCTGAATACAATGTTGTGAAAATTTATCACAATGTGCTTCAGATTGTGTTTCAAAGGTATTTTTCAATAAGCTTTTAATTGAGAGCCTAACAACTTCCAGCTTTGAGTATATTCAAAATGTTATTTTGTTGTTTTTTAATTTATGTTTATCTTAAGAGTAGTTTAATTGCGTTTCAAATTTTTAATAAATTTGAACATTGTTTAATTAATTTTTTATTAAAATGATTTATTGTTTAAAATTTATATTTTTAATTAAATATTTGTCAATTAATTTTTTGGTTATCTAAGTCACGTGATTTTTATGTTATCACGTTATGGGTTAAGAAATGTAAAATTTTAATTTATTAAATAACATAAAAATAATATTTTACTTAAGATAATATTATCAATCACTTGTTTTCATTGAAAGTGTTAAATAAAAACTTCTTAATAACTTCTACTGAAAGATGAATGTATAGTTTAATTTTAGAGTATTATATTTATATACATAATTTTGACTTTGATGATAGAAATTTTATTACAGATAAAAATGTTTCACAGAATGCATTATTAACAGTTCATGTTATTAATAAACAAATTAAATGATAAAAAAATAAAAAATAAGATTCATCCAATAACCAAGAGGATTTTACAAAATGGATGAGGTGATTTGAGATAATTATGTTAGAAAGGAAAATAAATCATTTAGAATTTTATCTTTTCAACTTGGAATTGAGATAGTTATGTTATGGAGACATTATCACGCTCCTGGGGAATGCCGTTACTACTTTTCTCTACATGCATTTTGCCTCTGCACTTTATAACAATAACTATAAACAAATATCTAATAGGGTCTACACTATATAAGTGAAGTATTATTAATTGGTTAACCAATTAATATGTTTTTTAAATAACAATTCCTGCTGCTAAAAGTGAAAAGGGTAAGTTAGAAATAATTATTATGTACCTAATTATTTAGGGGTAGTGGATATGGGTTTTGCCAAACAACATAGAATAAAATTAGCTTTTGTTCTAAAACTGAAACTCACTATCCTAAACTGTCTTTTATAAAAATCAACAAACTTTT